TCAAAATACATAATAAATAGCACATTTTATCTCTGAAGCAGACGACTTTTAAAAAATTTTAGACCAGTGTTATAGAAGACTCTTACGGTGACTTGTGAATTATGGTGCAAATCTGATCTAGGTGTGTAGTAAATTAAATTACTTTTCTGCCTTTAGATATGTACTAGTGTTCTCTTGATTTTATTTCCACTGAGATTTTTCAGATCATTCTGGAACTCATAGAAATGCAGGGCTCATAGTGTACTTCATCTACTTTGGGAAAACTCAATTGTCTTTGCTTCTAGTAAGTTCATTAAAATATTTTGCAGAAAATATTTTCGTAGAAAACTTTTAACTTGCCAGGGGTGAATGCAAAGTTGAAAATACTTTGTAACTTATTTGAAAAAAAAGCCCAGATGCTTGAAAGTCAGGAAATTATCAATTAAAATTCGGATACCAACCTTAATTCTGCTCCTATACAGCCATTTAGTCTCTGCTTACTAGTGGGAAACTTACATGAGTTGCCACATGGAAGAAACAAATCTACCCGTTGCATATATGAATTACAAGAATGTGGTATTGAGTCATATGCTACAACCAGCATTCACTCTTCTAGGTTATACTGTGTACAGAATTTAGTCTTACCTTGTAAGGGTGGATGGGTTATCATGATGTCTAAACTGAATGAGTAGGATACATGGAGTACAATTTTATCACTAACCTCTATCTGGATTTCTGACCAATATTAGTAATATCAGCAAAGCCCTACCTGTTTTAGAAGATATGGTGTGAGCCCCAGCTCATGTGGTGTGATGAACAGAGGGTAGGATTATTTCTCTGTCACATTTGTAGAAAGTAAGATGATCTCATACTTGAAGCATGGGTTTCTGGTCAGTATCCAGTGGGAGGGCTGGGTTTCCAAACTGGTATGTAATTTCCTCAGGGTTTGTGGCCTGTACTGGAAAATTTAAATTTGGGTGGGGGTTGGAGGAGAGGCAAAGAATAAATTGGTGTTGGAACTTGAAGTAAACTTCCTGATTTATGAGAATTTAGGGTTTTTAAACTTTAACATTTTTAGTTTCTTAAAGGGAAATAATCTCATCCTTTTCCTAAATGAACTTTTGTCTAGGCATTTTGTTAGGCCTTTTAAACAAATTTTGAAGACTGCAGAGCAATCCATTTTTATTATAATGTTTCAGCTAGATTTGTTGGTTTATCTAGAAAGTGATATACCGTATATACTTGTTCATAAGCTGAATATTTTTGGTAAAGTGACGCATCAAAGAGCAGGGTCGACTTATAAACGGGTCTACACCAAAATTTGATGATTTTAAACTCTATGGAATTATTGAATTGAATATCTAATACATTGTCGTTTTGTTTACCTGGAGCATCTGCAAGCATGGAGCCTCTCAGCATCCTGTGGCCGCGGTTCGCCGTTCCCAGCCAATGGGAGCTGAGGGGCTCCGTGCCTGTGAACGCTCCAGATAAACAAAACGTCCAGGCCTGGTAGCGGCTTACCCTGAAGGGCCAGGAGCCAAAGTTTGCCAACCCCTGAAATATAGGGTTGGCTTATGAAAGGGTCATACAGTTTTTGCTATTTTTACCTATCCATCTTATAAACGAATGGGCTAACGAACGAGTATATATGGTAGTTTAAAGCCAGTAGTGTGCAAAATACAGCTGTTATGTCATAGTGCTGCATCCAGGAATAACTTTTTTGTAAGGCAAGGAAATTAAATGCACAAAAATACATAAATGCAAAGTTAAGGCTGAAAATGTAAACACTTGCATATGAAGAAATTCAAAAGCTACTTTAGTCATGTTGCTCATGTGCACCAGTACAGCGTATTTTAAGTTTAGTGTTTTCAAACACTGTTGTTATAAGAGAATTATGCACTACATTCCTACTGTGTTTCAATTACATTGAATGCCTAAATGACTGTGAAGTTAATGTATATCTTTGTCGTTTGTGTAGTGAACACTGATAATGTTGCCATTGGGGGGTGCACACTTCTAAATTTCCTGACTTTTGAATTTAAATTCTTAACTTAAACCTCTCATCAACCTATAATTGTATTTACAGAATACAATTATATTCTCACAGAATTTAGGATCTGGGAAGGGAAGACCATTCCAGGAGCCTCCTCTCCTTCCCCAGGGCATGCATTATGTCTTGTGATAATTTCAGGCCTTATTCTCAGCCCTGGGGTGCACTGAGAGGAAGTGGGGCCACGTGCAGTCCCTCTCTGAGTTCCTGATAAGATTCTACACCACAGCTTACTTGGACCAGTGGCTAGATGTCATCATTTGGCCCAAAGCATATGTAGCTTGATGTCCAAGAGGGGACTGGTCTAGGATTCACCATTTTTTCTGGGGTACTGTTTGCTTCCTAGGGACACAAAGAGGGAGCACACAGGGGGATGTGGGTGAGTTTTCTTTGCATGTCTCCTCCTTCTCCCATAAAGGCTTTCACAGTTTGGCCCTCAGTGTTTCTTTCCCCTGATAAAACATATTTAATATGATGCCCCATTTAGAATCTGTGTTGTATTCACTTGTTGTTCAAATAAGCAATTTTTTTTCTTATTCTCATCCATATCTGCTGATTCTAAAAAGATGGAGTGCAACTTTTGTCATGCTTAAAAGTCAGATTGCTGGTCTGACCTTCAGAATTGTGGTAGTTTGGCATAACTTTGATTTTTCCATTCTCTTTTCACCTTCCTCTCCAGGACTTCCAAGGTTCACTAGCCAGCCAGAATCAACATCTGTCTATAGAGGAAACAGCGTAATTCTGAACTGCGAGGTTAATGCTGATCTGGTACCATTTGTGAGGTGGGAGCAGGATCGTCAACCACTCTTTTTGGATGACCGTGTATTCACATTACCAAGTGGAGCTCTAATCATTAGCAATGTTACAGATGGGGATGGCGGACTCTATCGCTGTGTCATTGAAAGTGGTGGGTCGCCCAAATACAGTGATGAAGCAGAGCTTAAAGTTCTTCCAGGTACTAATCTATTTTTTAAAATATTTTTCCCCATCAGTCTATCCATTGTGTGTTATCTCCTTTAATGATAAGATGAAAGGAAAACATAATAGGAGCACTTACCAGATAGTAGAAGGAAAGGAGATGTGGCAAGCAGCAGTCTGCTGCCAAATGGCAGCTGGGCCTTTAAATGTGACAGAGGTAATGACAGCCCTAAAGCAATCAAGAAAAGTGTGCTGGGAAAGAGTTTTGTTTGTGAGGAGGCAATTGTAAAGAAAGGGGCTGGTCACTCTTTTGATGCAAGATGTATAGATAGGCATCTTCAGGTTTTCCAGAATGGAGCCTGGTGTTTGAGATAGCTATGCCCAAGATTTTCAAAAGTGACTGGTATTTGTGATTGCCTCAGTTTTGGGGTACCCAACTGGAAAGCATTTTTAGAGAGACCTAATTTTTAGAAAATACTGAGCATGCAGCTGCTGAAAATAAGGCCCGTTTAAGATGTCTCCAATTGAGCACCCAAAAGTGGAGGCATCCAATCTCACTAGTTACTTCTGAAAAATCTTGACCGTGTTTATCTTTTTCACAGATTAACTTTCTATAATTAAACTAAGGAGTAACTATGACATCAACTACTTGCAGTTTCGTATATTTAGTGTAATACAGGACAACTGAACAGCAGTATGACTAGATGTTCTAACAGGAACACAGCTATAAAAACGGATCAGAAATAAGACATTGATTTGGGTGCCAGGTCCAATCCGTAACTCTTCTGACCAGTATGAGAGCTTGTTTTACATGGACTTTCCCATTGATTGTGCAGAAGCTTTGACTCTTTCCTTCTAACTTTTTTTGATGGTTTAGAGTTCTGATTCTACTTCCACTGTTTGAATACCTGCCCCAATTAGATCACTTTCAGGCTAGTAAAACTGCCATGGAAAACATATAAACCCCATGAATTACAGCTGCTTTTGAGGCCAGAGTGTCAAAACCATACCCTGGTTTTTAACAGGTGTCAAAAGCAGCTGTAATTCACAGGGTTTCTATGTTTTCGTTGGCAGTTTAATCTGAAAGTACTTAGAAAATCAGGTTTCTAAGCAAGTTTAGTTTTAGTAGTCTTATAAAAATCTTCAAGTTGCCTTGTTGCAGTGACTGGTAGACTTTTTTTCTGTCCTGGGGACAGAGTTTGTGTCCTTTTTTATAATCTTCAAACCATGACTGAATTCTTGTTTTAAACTTGCTTTTAAAATATTTCTGAGTATTTCCAGGGCCTTCCAGATGAGCTCTAGAGATTTCCAGGTCTGTGGTGATTATAAGGATTTTTTGGAATTTCTATCATAACCCTCCTGGTTTAGATTATATTATTGCACAAGATACCCACATTAGGGACTGCACTTAATGACTTCTCTTTCCTTGTTTTGGGAAATGTGAAAATGTTGAAAATGAAGTAGCATGTTTATAGAGAAGGAATTTCAATCTTCTCCTGAATTTAGTGTCTGTCTTTTTGAATGGAAATCAAATTGTCCCATAGAATGTTCTGTATTCCTATATCTTGGCTGGACAGGTAATTGATTGTTTGAGATTCACTTGAAAGAAAGACCTATGTCTAATGTTCTTTAGTCCATTCTGCCCCACATTGTAAATCAATGCCTATTACCTGATCTACACTAGAAAAATTTAACTGGTTAAAGCTCCGAGAATATTTGTAAAACACCTAGAATGTATTGCATTTACTGAATCAGGAATTGTGGGATAAATATTCAGAGAACATTGTCATTTATATTTTTCAGTGCTAATGTGGGCCAAAACTAAACTGTATCCACAGGTAAAACCATAGCCCACAAGTTAAACAGTTTATGAAAACTGAACAATCATGTTAACCTAAATGTTTTTCACAGTTTGGCTTAAAGCATCCACACTACCCTTTAGAAATGCCCCCTCCCAAAAGTTAATTAAATTAACATTTTAGAAGCTTGCACCAATATGACAGGCTCACAGGCTGTGTCTACACTTGCAAATTTGATGTCTTTTCAACACCAAGTCTTCACTGCTGCTCAGAGCAAGGTTTTGTGACAGTGCTGAAAATTCATGAGTCCTGTTTACAATAGCACTTAGACCCATGTTAGCGCTGAGACAGTGGTTTTGATGCAGAAGAGTGAGCACTGAATTTGTTAGTACAGACAGTCCATTTGTCCCAAAATATTAGTATTGTTACTATTAATAGTACTTTAGAAAATATTTATTTTATCGTAGCACCCAAAGACCCCAATCAGTGTTGCTGGGATTGGCACAATGACAGTTAGACTTAGGCCTGGTCTACACTATGGGTTTAGGTCGACTTTAGCAGCGTTAAATTGAATTAAGCCTGGACACGTCCACACAACGAAGCCCTTTCTTTCGACTTAAAGGGCCCTTTAAACCGGTTTCTTTACACCACCTTCGACGAGGGGATTAGCGATAAAATCGGCCTTTGCGGGTCAGAATTGGGGTAGTGTGGACGGAATTCGACGTTATTGGCCTCCGGGAGCTATCCCACAGTGCTTCATTGTGACCGCTCT